ATAATTGTAATTTAAAAAATGATTTCGGTGGTACAAATCAAAGCTCAACACTAATGCCAATTTCTGATTTCCTTTATTTCAATTTTCGTAATAATCACTCAATTAACCATGAAAGAAATAAGGTACACAGTCAACCCAAACTCGTGCGGGACTTGGAGATAAATGCACACCCTATGTCCTGCATTACACAGCTTAATGCACCCGTGATTTCACGTGATCGCAGTGCATTAGTAATTCCGGTTACATGTAATACTGAAGGCCAAGTAAAAAAACTATAAGATCCAACATAGCAATTCATATTTCCAACACCCTACAGTAATATATATGTGAGTATCATACTAAAAAAGTCGTTTTTGAATGGTCATTTTTTTTATTTTCTTCAGTACGATACTCACTCGACCTTCAGTACCTTTCTACATACCCGATATTGGAGTATTTTTAAACAAGATTTTCCCTCAATGTAGCTCTCTTTTTGAAGATTCTAAAGGAGAAAATAAGGATCGACCTTTAGAGTTTATATTTACAGTAATTATGAAGATTGAGAATTTTATTCATCAAGTATGAAGCATTCATTAAATAATAATGAAGAAATGTTTTAGTGCTATTTATGATTTAAGTAGCAAATATATAAAGGCAATCAGTTGATTCAGATCCAATTTCTTGTTATTATGTTCAAACACAATAATTTATTTCCTTGATTAATTTTATGATCTAAAATATTTCTCTTGATTGTCACAAGTATGCAAAAATGATAAACCTATATATAAAGATAAATGAAAAATTATCTAGTTGCTAATGTAAAATGCATTCTAATGTTTTTTTTTTGTTCAATAGATTAATATAGATCTTGATTTAAATGCTATATAGAAGAAAACCTACCTCAAGATTTAAAAGCAATTATACATTGTTCATAATTATAATGGAAAAGACCACATCTTAGCACTTGTTCACTTCACTACTGATGTCATAACAGATGGTCTAAATATTTTGAAGGAGTTTGTGGCTCTACTAAATATATAGAAATAAATAAATGGAATTGATGTAGGAATTTTATCTTTTAGACATCCAATAGAAAAACTGAAACAAATAAAAAAGCTACAAAAGCTATATGTTCTCAGAACATGTATTAGTATTAGTATGGAAAATGTATTTCTGTGCATTATTTTTCATAGGGTACCTACGTGCCTAAGCCTTGGATAATTAACAACCTTAGTATACTACCCCTCTCTGAGATGGAATTGGGCGCGTCGAAAGCGCATTTCAAGGAATTAGGAATTATTCAAGTTACATTTGGGGGGTTATTGTTACCAAGAATTCCCAGCGAAAACCTTATTAATATTTTACTAATTGCTATTACATATTATCATTCCGGAGGTCAAATCACATGGTTTAAGATGCATTTTTTTCACTTCATCTATTACGAAAGTTGAGATTCTCTACACTTAATTCCGAATAGTCATTACGGATAAAGATTTTACTCATCCTATTTTTCCATCACTGATAGCATTAAAAAAGTAGATTCTTGGGGTTCTTTCTTTTCTTTTAAGGCGAGCATTGGTCTCTAAAATTTTTATTGGCATCATCCATTTGAGCTGTGTGTGCATTGAGAGATTTATCATAGTAATGCTTGAAGAGTAAGGATAGGAACTTTCCAAAGAAAAATAACATCTTGTGACTTTTTGATTTGTAATTTCATTACGAATTTCAACATTAGTAATTTTATTAAACATATCAAACAAATTCTCGAAGTTACCAACTGCAACTTCTCTAATTATAAAACTTGAACATATCAGATAAGTTTTTTCAACATATTTCTTCCTTTTTTTACTGGAAGATTTATCTGCAGGAGTAAGTTTATTAGAGGTTGGAATCGACTAAAATAGTTGACTAAACTTTTTTTTGAACAACTAATAATCGACTACTACTAATACTAATAGCATAGCAGTCAGTGTGCAAATCCTAAAAATTAAGGGGCAGGTCGTTTTGCCAGAAATTTTGGCTGATCAACATTGAAATTTTACTAACAAAAACTTGAATTGAATGTCTTCAGTCCCTTATTTTATACCCTTGTTTTGTATCAATTGTCACCAAAATTTCCACGTTGTTTATTTTTCATGTTCTTTATTTTGTAAAAAAATTTCAAGTAAGGTTAATAAAAGAGCGGAAAAGAATCAAGGTCTCAAAGTTTTTTTTGTCTTTGTGTGACAATAGAAGTGCGAATGGGGATTCATGTCTTGCAAGTAAACTTGTAAAACTAGTGAAGTATTTAAATATTTTAAACATTACGATTATATTTAAAGAAATTTTAAATAATGAATAGTTTGACAAATAAATTTTTATTTTTATTTTTATTACATTTTTATTAGATTTCTTTGTTATATTAATTACACAGGAAGGATGTTCATTAATAGATACTTGTCATGTATTTATAATTGATTATTATACTCATTATTTGTGTTATATATTATATTATTAATTTGATTCTTTTATTATAGATATAAAGAATAATTAAATATAATCGGGATAGAGATACTTGTGATTTATAATTCAATTAATATTCATATTAAAACTTTTGACTTTTTTGTTAAATCATTATTCTTAATTCATGTTTCGCCGATCATGTGTATATAGAAAAGTAATAATGATCTGCAGAGATAAGTTAATTATAATTTTTTCTTCTAAAAAAGAATCTCACGCTGTCTATATAATAAATCCAATGAATACCAATAAAA